GGCATTAAACACTTGCGATATAGCTTACATGCTACAGCCATTTTGGACCCAGCTGTATCTCGTGCATAGACATTTCTAAGTGCCTGCCAACACTCCTGGCTTGTTTTCAGATTCCTAACATAAGTCCGTTGCAAATCTTCCAAGCACAATATTATCATTGCTCTTGCTTTATCATTGTTTGCACATCCCTCATCATCATCATCAGGAGAAGGATCTTCAACATATTGCCACAGTGACTCTCTCCTCAAGTGCATGTCCATCTTAAAAGATCAGGACAAGTAATTGGTGTCATTTAGTTTTGTACACATTATTCCACTTGCCTGCTGCATCATGGAACTTGCTGTTACAGTCTGCTCCTCGTCCTCTGAAGTACTTCCACTCAGTTACTTGAGCACCATCAGACCTCAGCTCCATTCCAACTTCAGCCTTGGCTTTTATGTGTTTCTTCTTCCCAGACATTCAGCATTTATCTGCTTGAAAAACCATCTCCTCTGGGCACATAAGCAGAGATACTTATGACACTATGACACTGAGAGAGTAAAACCAACAACTTAGTCTATTTACATATATATATATATATGTAAATAGACTAAGTTGTTGGTTTTACTCTCTCAGTATATATTCTGTGACCAATCAGAAAATACATTACTTCATTTTCTGTTACACAAAGTTTCATCATGTACCACAGCTGTACAACATTTAGTCTTAATCCTTGATACCACAACTGAATACAATCTATACATGACTCAGGTAAAATCAGCCATTTTACATTTAACTATACAACATTAATATTTAATACATTTTCATATCAAAATCTCAACAAACAGATGGGTAGAGTCTATTATACATAAAGTGCAACCATCATAGGAAATTGAATGAAAAAATTGAATTCTCATGTGAACAAGTACACCCAACCAAATAAAAATGAACATGTGGAAGCATTTTCCTTTGGTAGTCTTAGTGCTGTATTTGAGAATTTTTCTGTTTTTTTTGTAATTCTATAAGTAAACAGATTTCTGATGTTGATTGGAAAATATGTGCAGCTTTCATTAACAATTGAAAATACAATCAAATAGCTCTGCACCTCTGATAAGAAGTGGTCCTAGCTGAAGCCTTATTCAAGAAAGCACTTAAAGATGGGAGTGTTTATGTATTTAAATTTAAGAATATGCTTTAAGTGCTTTCCTGAATTTGGGCCAATGTGTCTGATGGTTCCTCCTGTTGAGACCAGATGTCATAAGAAACAAATCAGGCCCCATTGCCCTGATTCTTTTGCTTATTACATGTGGTCCTTGCATTGCTAAGTGTTTCTGTCCTGCACATACAGATTAATTGAAAAGTGTGTCCTCTTTGAAGATGGACATGGAAGAAGAAAAAAGATACCTCTCTTAAAAATGGCTTGGACAGTTGTGTAGCATTTCTGCTCAGGTAAATTAGTTTCACCTCAGGGCACTGTCTTCTGTTCCCAAACTGCAAAGGAAATAGGTTGCAATTACTACCTAGTATAATCCTACAAAGCTTTAGCTGCTGCTTGCAGATGAGTTTGCAGCTGCCTAGAGATAAGCACCAATTGCTTGTTGGTTGATTAACCATGGATTAAAATATACTGGCCATGATCCAGAATTTGACTGGGATTGATGCACACATGGAACGCTGTGTGACTGGGGATTTCCCTGTTTTGTTGCATTTTGGGGAAACGGCTGCACTCACTTTATCACTGGATAAAACTGAGGTTTTTCAGTGGGGCTTCCTGCCTTTGTCTAAAGCCCAACTGCACATGAGAAGTCTGCATGTTTCTAGAACCTTGAGATATGGATGAAAGGATAAACAGATACCAATTATTCAAGACATCCAAGTCCAACTAAATAATGAGGGCATCTAGTGAGACATTCTTCTTTGCCGCTTCAGACCTTTGGAATAGCTTTGTGAACTTGAATCTCACCTTCAAAAGCACTCTGGGCTGCTAGAGGTTTCTAGCCACTGTTAAAATTTCCCACTATGAATGGTGATTTTGTATATGCCTGATTTCCTGCTAGCCAGTTTAGGAAAAAAAATTACTATGAAGTATATCCAGTATAGTACAGTCATCTCCACCCTGATGTTCAACTCCCTTGATCCCTTGCCCATGTTAGCTGGGAATGATGGGATTCCCATCATGATGGAATTGTAGTCGAATACTGGAGGACATTTGATGGGGGCAGCTGTACTGATGCAAAGCTTCCAAAGGTCCCAGAAGCCTTGTATCCTTACTTATTGAAGTCTTTAATCCAATATTTGGTTCATGCTTGTTCACGACTGATTGAGAACCATTTCTGTAACTGAGTGTGACATCAATATAGTACTTTATTTTTTCTTCTACTTGTTCCACAACTGTCTATGGCACCGCAAGGGGAGCTGTGTCACCTCTTACAGTTTTTAATCCCTAGATAGCAGCTCATTAGCTTAGATATGATGCTATAGGTGACTGTAGGTGACTGGTTGGGGCACTGTCCAAACAGAGGTTTGGATTAGATAGACCTGGATCTTCTTGTGCTTCTAAGAAGTGCCATGCTCTATCAGACCAAAAGTTCATCTGGTTCAACATTCTGTTATCATAGTGACCAACCACGATGGCTTCTACCTTCTGTTTCTTTTGGCACATGCATCTGCTATACAGTATTTGGAGCGATTTGCAGTCACAAAGATCATACAAGGTAATCACTAGGGAAGGTGAAGTGGCTCTATGTGCTTCTCAGAGCATTCCCAGAGGAATGCCTTGAATACCTGTGTAGCTTTTTAAATGCAGGTGATAATCCACATTTTCCCATTTTGCCTCTCTGTGCTGTCCTTGGTTCCCAGAGGAATGCCTTGAATATCTGTGTAGCTTTTTAAATGCAGGTGATAATAATCTCTGTCTTTTAGCTGCTTAAAGGTTCACTTGTGAATTATGGCTGCTCAAACTCGCTATTAAAGAGCAGCCCGTGTTATTATTTTTTTCCTGACCAGTTGGCAACCCAACCAGAAGAGGCTGGACAAAAAACTGGTGGGAATTTCAGTGCATCTTGGGTGTTTCATGCATAGAACAGGGCTAAAATGTGACAAAAATGGGAAACTGGCTTTTGTTGTATGACTTTGTTATATTTTCATGTTGTGACCCACATGATAGTCTAGAGAATGTGCTGTAACAAGTCCTACTAACGCCTGAATTACCAAGTTCCTGTAAGTGCTTTATATTCAGCTTATAGAAGCCTTTGTATTCCAGGACAAGTGATCTGCAAACAATACATAGATAGGGCTGTGATCTCTCTCCAAGAGAAATATAATGATGTGGTTGATTTGTATGAACTTGTGAATTTGTATACATTTTTAAAAACTGAAAATTAAAAGTTGCTCACTATTAGGGTTAAGTTTTTTCCTCCCAGCACCAGAAAAGAAAAAATAGTTCAGTTTAAAATAAGCCAAATGGAATTCTGACCATAGATTTGCCATCAACCTTCAATATTGGGAAATGTTCACCTTGTGCAAGAGGTAATACATGCTTTACTTCAGCTGAAACAGAGTTTCACATGGTGGATTTGTATAAGGACATGGGTGGGCATAGTGCCATTGGTAAACTTTCTTCTGTGCAAGAAGATAATGCAAGACCTGTGAATGACAGCTATGTCACATTCCACAAGTGGTCAGAAGGTTCTCGCAGTGAGCACTTTGTTCTGTGCCTGTGGGCAGTGAGAGGAAATTCAGCAACTTGAGAGAGCTGGTTACATTAACTTGTCAAATGGACACAGAAGGAGCTTCCCTCAAAAATGTGAACATATTTGGGTGTCCCACTAGCAATGACAGCAGCTATCATATGATCCTTCCATTCTAGAATCACCAGTGTGAAGTTCTGTGAACACCACAATTAACTTGCCCGATGAAAATAGGCAATAGATAGCAGTAATTTTCTTGCTGTGTGGGGTGTAAGTCTTTTGGAGATGTGGAATGCTGTCTCAGTTTCCTTGCCCTCCTCCTCATGACTGATCTTCAGGCTTCTCTCTCTCTCTTTTGTGTTTTGTTTAGTTATATTTGAGCACCAAAAACCTTTCTATAGAAGCTGGTTAAAAAGGAATAATTTATTTTATGCGGCCTTTTCCTTTTCTACTGCTTGTATCTGCATGAATGTGTTGTAGCTCAATGTGAGTTCATTCGATTAAATAAAATCCTTAAATTGTAATCCGTGCAAAATGATCATATTTGAAACACTTGATGTCTCGGTGAGAACTCATAATAGTGATCAAATTTAAATGATTTAACACAGTAGTAGCAGGGAGGGGAAGAGGAGGAAATACTGTTCCAAGACATCTATGTATTTATATAGAAAAGATTAAAACTAAAGTCAGATATGCTTCTCTTTCTCCCCTCACTCTTATTTCTCCCTAGCAGTCAAAAGATATACTGTATCCTCTGTGAAAGGGTGCTTTCAATCCAGTTATCCACTTTACCCAGTCTCAGATTCCAGAACCTTCTACACACCCTCATTGGTTAAACCGCTAAGCCTTTGATTCCTTCCTGATTACACTATGCAAGACATCTATCAAACACTGTCTTATCTGTTTGTAAGGCAGCTCAGGCCTCAGATTTAAGTCATGGGTTTTGGCTACAAGTTGGAGTGTGATTAATAATTGACTAATGTAGCTTTTATTTATCACAGGCTAGCACATTTCACCATTACCGAGTTAACATAAATTAAGTGTAAGCTGTCTTTCAATCTGTTTTTCAACTCCATCCCCCCCTCCCAAATCCTAAGTCTATCTTTCACTTTTTAAGAAACAAAATCCTTACACAGGGCACAGTCTTAGTCAGTGCCAAAAAGTTGATTTCCTTTTCAGTGGAGTCATATATCACCAGCCCTCCCAGCTGCAGTGTCAGCCTCTGACAGAATGACATGTGTCATTTATCAAAGGGGCCAGGCCGGGCCTTGGGAAACGTACATGACAAAGCCTGAGAGAGTTCATTTCGTAGTCCCCTCCTACCCTCTCTGAGCCTCTTGCCAGGAAAGCCTGTGATGTTTCTGTCTTCACAGCATTACTGTAAGTCCTTCAACCTTCACAAATTTAACCCTTGCAACTTCAGCTATCAACATTAACAGAAAATCTTCCTTATAGTTGTAGCTTTTTTGGCATGGGTGGGTAGAGATACAGTTAGCAATGATACATTGCTGTAGAGTTATGCTTCTTGATTTATTTCCACACTTTCCCCAGCTCTCTAATATAAATAACAAGTAAACAACTGAGACCTAGTAAATGCAGGACAGTAAGCCCCAACCTGCATAGTGCAACTTCTGAGTAAATATACTTAGCATTGTATTGTCATTCTGTTGTAAAATGCTCTAGCACTCTGTAGGTGGAGAATAGGTGGAATTGGCTAGAATATATTTTTGCTTGTATAGTCAGTCTACCTGCTACATTATATGTTTGGTTATTTCAAATACAGATGCCAGAATAGGCAACATACAGTATTTCCTTTATTTGGAACTTAGATTGTTTAACATATGTGTGAATGAGGTCACTTGTAGCTTTCAATAATGCCTATACAAATGGTTTCAGAAAGAAATGCAAAATAAAGCAAAAGGAAATAAAATAGTTTGAAAGAAATATACCCCACAGTATCAGTCACATGGAACTGTTTAGTTTCTGCAGTTGTGTTGTTCCGGCAGTGCTTAAGAATTTGCTTGTGAGCTTTAATTATTTCTCAAATGTGGAGCATGCCATTGAGGCATAAATATACTTTTTGTTAAAACAAAAGTTTTTCTCCTGATCTCATTTTTGTTACGTAGAATAAAGAGGGGAAGTCATTGTTCTCTGTGTCTCTCTTCCTCTCACGCACACTTCAAAAACATACAGTTGTTTTCACGGTAAATATCTTTACAGAATTGGAGAACATTTACAGATATAGCTAAGGAGACTCTTGTCTTGGCCAGGAACTTTTTAGGAAGGAATTCTATAAATTAGCCATTGCTCAGGAGTGGCTGTTTTCTAGTCAGGACTGGTCCTTTCATTTGTCTACATAAGGCTAATTTATTTCTGCAGCCAGATGTGAGCTGACAGCCATCACTCAGAGTTTCCTTCCCCCACTGTTAGGAGGTCGGGAAAACAGTCACGTTTCCCATTTTACAGAATCCCCATCAACATTATTGAAGATGGATGTATCTTTAAAGCAAAGATTGATTGTGGATATCGGAGTTATGGTGTCATTTATCATGGTGAATATTATTTAGACTTGGATTGTACAAGGCTGTAACTTGAGACACAGCCAGGGGAGGGACAATCTGGAAACGAGGATCCATGAACTTTAATGGATGGATGCTTTTTCAAAGCTCCACTCACTATAGCATGATTTACTTTTTTTACAGAAAGGAAACAAGCATTTCAGTTTTAAAGGGCCAGCATGCCTTCTTGTCTCCTTTTGTGGGTCCTTCACAGAAACATCAAAGGCTTACAGCTGAGACACAAATAGAGTGATTGAATATGAATTTTACATGTATTCAATTAATCCTGCTTAAATATATCATCGGAAGAGACATTAAATGAGTTGCACTCAAGGCTTTTGTTTGCTTAGACCTTTGGTCACGTGACTGCTGAAGAGCTGAAGTGTATTGTGTATGAGATATCACGATGTGAAATTCTGGTAGCATTAAATATAAGATGATAACCAGGATGTCACATTATGAAAGCTTTCTATATCAAACTGAGTTTAAATCATAGCGTTGGACGTTGCTTGGAGTGTCCTACTAACGTGAACAACTGACATAGCTCACAGTTATTCAGCAGTGTGATACATGTTTTGATACATAATAACGTGGCAGTCTAAACTGGTTTTTTTAAAACTTTGTTCCAGTTTTATTGAGATTATTTTTAGCATATAATAGAATATAATGTGCTCAGATTCACATTGCCTAAATGGAAGCCTGTGAGATTTTCTGACAAAGGGGCAGATTTGACACTTATATTAAGTACTTGATTTGATAGCGTCAGAGATGTGAAATATTTCCTTTTTTCTTTGTTTTTCAAATGACAACTTTAAGAACCCCACAGGCAATACTTCCTGTTTCTGGATACCATTATGTGATGTTATCTATATTTTGTTCACATTTTGAGGTGGAACTGAACAGTATGTGTGTGAAAGGACTGCAGTTAGTCTTACCAACTTATTGTAGATTGTGTTGCTATCCCACCGTGATCTTCATTGAGATCATAGGGATTCAGCACTATCCTTTTCCATGTGGTAATTTTTCTTTTTTTGTTGTACTTTTAACTTTGCTGGAAAGGATTGACTGAATTGTAAGATCTTAGCAGTTTTACAAACTGTGTGGCACAAACATGGATGACGAAGCAGAATGAGATTTCTGAAAGTAAGTGCGTCCTAATGAATGCAAAAGTATCCTTGGTACAGTAAGGCTGTATTTGGCTCAGGACAAGATCTTCCAAAATTGACCCTCGCCAGAGAAATATTCTAAAACTGACATCAAAGTTTTTGGTTTATTACATTTACATTTTCATTTTCTCCATTGAGCTTAAGATGCACTGTATGGCTTTCCTCCTCTTTATCAGGTCAAACTGAGAAAGAATGATTGGCCCAAGTCATCCAGTGAGTTTCATGACTCAGTGAGGACTAGAACCTTGATCTCCAAGTCCCAGCCCAACATTGTAACTGCTACGTAGATTAACTTCATAAGTGGTTGATGGCACAGAAACTCTCGATTTTATTCTTCAGATGACCCGCTTCTACTGATATAGTAGGAACACATCCATTAGCCAGCCTTTCCTAATTTATTATGATATGCTGTTCTTGAACTACATTTTTAAAAAACGTGCTGTTTTAATATGATTTGTTTTGTATTACGATTTGCGGTCTTTTAAAGGTTGGAGTTGAGGGAAATACTGTAAATGAATCCACAAATAAATAAACCTGTGGAAAGTTCCAGTATTTACCAGTACTGTACACAGACTAGTAGTGGACAGTCGTATATATCCCCACCTATCCTGCTTTGTTAGCCCAGTGTATGGTTAAGATAAATGAAAGATTTTATGAAAGCAGCCACTCTAGCATTTAAAATAGAAAAAATCCAAAAATTATGAGCGTGTGTTTTAGAATTCATTTAAAAAATAAAGAAAGTCTGTTTTCTGGAACAGTAAGGAGAATTTACTTGAAAGTAAGTCAAACATTGTTTAGCATCAATTTATTTAAATCCTAACACTGTATTTTAACTAACTGTTTGTTTTAGGCTGTCTGGTCCTTTTAAACCTATCTATCGCTTTTGAATTTTCTTCGAGGAACATATTTCTCCAAATCAAGAAACATGCAACGTGTTTACAAACAGGAAACAGTTTATCAAATTCGTATTATCCCAGTGCCTGTAATGTCAACTAGGGGTCAAGTCATTACACTAAATTATAACCATTATTAATGCACATAGGCCTGTGTCATAAAGATTGCTGTTTTCTGACTAAAGGTTGCTTGGTGATGCTGAGATAAAATACAAATTTTCTCATAGTGACTGTCAGTAGCTTCTGGTAGTCTGCCTTCTTCTGACAGTGGTGTATATTAATATGAGCACATCTTACAGAATAAGCTCTAAGCTTCAAGAACTGTAGAATAGTGTCTAATTGCAGCCACCACAACTGTGCTTCCATAAGGTAGCCAAATTTATCACTGCACATTACAGGATGCAGCAAATGCCATGAAAACCATTGTTTTTTAATTTTTTTCCCTGAGTGTCTGAATGAGGTGATTTATGGTAGTTATCCATCTTAAGGGTCATCCATCAACTTTTAGTTGCTAGGCAATCAAACTAGCAGCTGTTTGCTTTGAATCAAGCTGAAAAGTTGTCAGTCATCACATGCAGGTATGACCTTAGTGGTTAAAAGCATTGTCATGCAGCATTGGGGAAAAAACTCCTTTCCTCCTATTCTCCCCTTCATGTTTTTATGCTGTAAGGATAAATAGAGCATAAAATGATTAACATTCTTTCTCTTCCAGAAAACAGCCATTCATGTCTGTTACGTATTCAGTATTGTTTCATTCATATTATCACTTTCTTACCCAAGAAGAATTGGTTTTGGAGACAATGATGTAGGAGAAAAAGGAGCGCAACCTTTCACCTAAATACTTAGGATGGCAATGCTGCCGTTCCAGTAACATAAACACACACACTTTTTTCAGATGCTGGCATAGACTTCAATGTGCTTTGAATATACTGACACAACTATTTAGCATTAAGGAAACAAGCAGTTGTATTCTGTCTCCATTCACTGGGAGTTAGATGCCTAGGTTTGGCCTCTCTAGTTAGCTTTGCTGAAATATAAGCAGTAAATGCTGCTGTATTGTAGTTGGTACCCAATAAACAGAATGATTCTGATGAAAGCACCTCTAGCTTGATAATATTTGGGCTCTTCAAACACTGCACTTCTGCTGCTACTGTTACTAGGATGCATTAATGTGGTGCTGTTAATGTACAAAGTGTTTTACGTTCTTTATCTGGTTTGCTCTCATTACAAGCAACCTTTGAGGGAAGTCTTCAACATCCCTGTTTTACAGAATAAGCACTGAGCCTGGGGAATGGTGACTTCATGCAGTGCCTTGTGAGGGCAGAGCATTTGTTATTCCTGGCCATGGCTTCAGAATTGTGAAAGAGGAAAGAGGGCAGAACAATCACTGTGGCTTCTTTACAGTGTCATTGGTACCCAGTTTTGTTTCTGCCTGGTCAGCTGTTGACATTCTCCCCAATAAAAAGATAAAAATCTTGGAGTCTAACTGTTTTGAAAATCTAAGTGACCTAGCCTGTCCTAGAAATATTATATGAGATTTGATGTAGAGGATTCTGGACAGCATTTGAAGAGAATTGATTTGCAGATGGCTTCAACAAGGAGGGCAGAACTGCGTTTGAATTATCTCTCAATGTTAGAATTCAGACCAATGTCACAAAAGTTCACATTTGTAAGCTCTAGTTAATCAGAAATGGCATCTATCCACGACGGTAATTTTGTACCCCCCTGGGGCTGTTGAAGAAGAACTACTGTAAGTTGTCAAA